AGAACGGACTGTACGAATTCTTCAGAGCTAAAATGAGAGCCAGGCGGAGGAAAGGTCAGGAGAAGAGAAATAGGTGAGAGATGCTGTTTGCTTCCCTCTGATCCTCTTCGGTTGGGAGGTTTTAGGAATACTTTGGGCTAAGTGCAGAGGGAAGGTCTGTGAGTATTGTGTGCAGGTCTGGAGCCCTCAATATAAGAAGGATATAGACCTGATGGAGAGGGTCCAGAGGAGGGCCACAAGGATGATCAGGGGGATGGAGCACCTCTGCTACGAGGACAGGCTGAGGGAGCTGGGGTTGTTCAGCCTGGAGAAGAGGAGGCTCCGGGGAGACCTAATAGCAGCCTTCCAGTACCTGAAGGGAGCCTACAGGAAGGCTGGGGAGAACCTGTTTAGAAAGGCCTGCAGTGACAGGACGAGGGGCAATGGCTTCAAGCTGGAGGGGAACAGATTTAGACTGGAGATGAGGAGAGGGTTCTTCACTGTGAGGGTGGTGGAGCACTGGAACAGGTTGCCCAGGGAGGTGGTTGAGGCCCCTTCCCTGGAGATATTCAAGGAGAGGCTCGACGAGGCCCTGGGCAACCTGGTCTAGTTGGGGGTGTCCCTGCTGACTGCGGGGGGGTCGGACTAGATGGCCTTTGGAGGTCCCTTCCGGCCTGGGAAATTCTATAATTCTATAATTCTATAAAGGTCTGATGGAATAACCGAGTTTCAGCTTGCTGGAATTTCTGTCTGATCTGCAAAAATAGTTTTTGCCACAGTCGAGTTTTCACCGGATTATCTGCAGAAATACAGTGCTTGTGTTGTGATTTGAGTTTGATCAGAAGTATATTTGCATTTCTCGTGCTTCTCCCGGGAGTTTCACTGGAGTTTCTCTGCTTTTATCTCTCCAGTGGACCTTCTCGGTCTCGCAGTCGGTCTAAAAGCCGAGGTCGCTCCTCCTCCCGGTCCAATTCACGATCTTCAAAATCTTCTGGCTCCTACTCAAGGTCCCGATCTCGCTCTTGCTCTCGATCACGATCCTATTCCCGTTCTCAGTCCAGGTAAAGGGCAGTGGGGCTGGATCTGGGGAACTGGGGGGGGTGGGAAAGAAGAGGAGGCTGAGGGGAGACCTTCTTGCTCTCTCCAACTCCCTGAAAGGAGGGTGTAGAGAGGTTGGGGTCAGTCTCTTTTCTCAAGTCACAGGTGACAGGACAAGAGGAAATGGCCTCAAGTTGCTCCAGGGGAGGTTCAGGCTGGATATTGGGAAAAAATTTTTCACTGAAAGGGTTCTCAGCCCTTGGAATGGGCTGCCCAGGGAGGTGGTTGAGGCCCCATCCCTGGAGGTGTTCAAAAGAGGGGTTGATGTAGTGCTGGGAGGTCTGGTTTAGTGATGATGCTCCTTGTTTGTTGTGTGGGTGTCTATTTTTGTCAGTCAGGTTGACGGTTGGACAAGATGATCTTTAAGGTCCCTTCCAACCTGGAAGATTCTGTGATTCTGTGATAACCCCAGCCCTCAGGGCTGAACAAGGAACCCTGGATGTTGCTCCAATAACTCGTGCCTCTGCTCTCCCTCTGCAGGAGCCGGAGCAGGTCCCGCTCATCTCACAGCCGCTCGCGATCGCGGTCACGATCAAGGTCGAAATCCTACTCCCCAGGAAGGCGGCGCCGGTCCCGGTCTCGCAGCCCCACTCCTCCGTAAGCTTTTTGGGGTTTTATTTCTCTTTTTAGCTGGGTTGTTTGGAAAAGTACCAACACGGGTGCTTTCTCATACGCTGGGTATATTAAGCATTTCAACAAATAGCAGAAAAGAAGATGGAAAGCAGGTTTAGAAACGATTTATCTGCTGTTATGTGCTTCTAGGGAGAATATTCCTCTGTTGTGGTGGCTTTTTGTGATGAAAATACACTTCCTGAGTCCTCTGAGTACTCAGTGCATTAGGAAGACTGTGGTGTTTGCTTTCCCTTGCAGTAAGAAGCACTTAGGGTGTTTCTGGCACCTTTATAACTCCATAATCTAATAGCTTTATAAAAGAATAGCTTAGTAGAGTGGATGGAATTATATTGGGTGTTAATGTTTAACAGAATGTAAGTGACCTTGCCTTGTGTCGGAACAGGATCGCTTGTTCCTCACTTGTTCTTTTTTCTTCCCTTAGTTCTTCTGCTGGTTTGGGCTCCAGTTCTGGGCCTCCCATACCAGAATCAAGACTTGGAGAAGAAAATAAAGGCCATCAAATGCTTGTGAAAATGGGTAAGAGGCTGTTCTGGAGTCTTACACAAGCCAGGAACCAAAATCACAGTGCATTAGGAAGACTGTGGTGTTTGCTTTCCCTTGCAGTAAGAAGCACTTAGGGTGTTTCTGGCACCTTTATAACTCCATAATCTAATAGCTTTATAAAAGAATAGCTTAGTAGAGTGGATGGAATTATATTGGGTGTTAATGTTTAACAGAATGTAAGTGACCTTGCCTTGTGTCGGAACAGGATCGCTTGTTCCTCACTTGTTCTTTTTTCTTCCCTTAGTTCTTCTGCTGGTTTGGGCTCCAGTTCTGGGCCTCCCATACCAGAATCAAGACTTGGAGAAGAAAATAAAGGCCATCAAATGCTTGTGAAAATGGGTAAGATGCTGTTCTGGAGTCTTATACAAGCCAGGAACGAAAATCGGGCACCCAACTCTTGGATAGAATTAATTAATGTGTGTTCATAAGTAATTATCCCTTGTTATTCCAAGGTCAGTGGTGCAGGTCAGCAGGGTTGACTGGACACCCTGGGCTTGTACTGGCTTTCCCCTTGCCCCCTTCAGAGTTCTCAGGGACAGTGCTGATGTCTGGCAGCTCCAGAGTATCTCCATATTAATGCTTTTCAATAAACGTGACAGTTCACGTTGTTTCAGGCTGGCTGTTACCATCCTGCTGTATTTCTTTGGTTGTTCCCAAATAAATCTTGTCTGTCCTCAGAATTCTAGTAATAAAAAAGATAGATACAGGATTACAGTGTTGTGTCCTTTCTGCAGGATGGAGCGGATCGGGTGGATTGGGAGCCAAGGAACAAGGAATTCAAGATCCAATTAAGGGAGGGGACATCCGAGACAAATGGGATCAATACAAAGGAGTGGGAGTTGCATTAGACGACCCTTACGAAAACTACCGAAGAAATAAAAGTTACTCATTTATCGCGCGCATGAAGGCCAGGGATGAATGTAAGTGACCGTTTCTAAGCAATTTAAAAAACCTCTGCAGACTTGATAAGAGATTTTGTCCTATTTACTGTAGATTGTAAACCCAAATCAAAAGACTAGTAACTCTTAATTCTTTCCAATGTAACGGATACAATCAAACAACAGGTAAGTAGACACATACTCTGATTGCTCAGTATCTTTTCCTTTTTAGTTGTGTTGTATTCTAATTTCTGAAACGTTAATTAATCAGCCTGTTGTATAAACCCCTTGCTGGCTGCAATGCCAAAGGCCTGCACCTCTGAGTGTCACCCCTCAGAAACCCAGAGCAGCCCCTGAGGTAGAGGAGGGAGCCAGAGCTGTGCCCAGGGGGGGACGCTGCCGGCGCAGGGAGGGTTTCCTGCTTGGAACTCCCCAGTTTCCAACAATTAGTGCCATTTTCTGCCCGAGCCAGAACTGGGAATAAACTCACTGGAGTGCAGGAAGGGTTCCAAAAATGTGGAGGTGCTTCTTAAGACATAAAAACCATTACCCAAATGATAGATTTTTGCAGAGAGTCTGTGTTACGTAGAACAACTGCACTTGCCAGTGACTAAAAAGAAAAAAAAATTGGCATGTTCAATGAAAAGTCACTTCTGCCTATGGCTGCAGTACATTTCTGTAATAAAATGGGTTCAAATAAAGCCCAAAAGGAAAACCTCCTTATTAATAGAACCCTCAGCCCATGAAACATTTCAGACAGCTTAGGTAACTGCAGAATGTGTAAGAACTCTTTTCCCTATTGTTTCAGTGAAGCGTGAAACGCAAGACCCTCCACCACCCGAATAAGACTCTCTGAAGAAAGATGTCTTGCATCTTCTACAAAACATTAAACTTGTATAAATCCGGATTAAAGTCTGGAGGAAGTGACAAATGAATTACTTTTAAAACTATGGTGAAAAATGGAAAGCTATGACATGTATTTCAACACTTGTCGTTTAGTGTTTAAAAAAAGGCCAGTCGTAACTATGACATGTCTTAGCAAGTTTAAGAATTTCCATTTATTTTGCAAAATTTTTTTAAATTAGTTTCCCATTTTATACTAGAATTAACCCCCCGTCGAGCTCTCCCTGGTGCAGGAGTGTGATTTGGTTCATTCCTGGGGAATACAGACGTTATCTGAGTACGGTTGTGTGTTCTCTAGTTCCATAATGTATGTTTATTTCTCTCAAAAGGTTAATTCTATTTGAAGTGGAGGGGTGCTGCCTTGGGATCAAGTCAGACTGATGCTGAGCAGTGTATCCTAATGTCTAAAGGGGGAAAATGAAGCATCTAGTTCCAGTACAGGTGACCTATGAGCACTGGTTACCAGCTTGTTAGAACCTACCCTCCAACTGTAACGCCCCTCCACACCAGCCGCTGCAGTCCCAACTCTGCTCAGAACACGAGGGTTTCACTGTTGTAGCTTTTCGAGCTCTCTGAGGGATGTTCAATGCTTTGTAACGGGAAGACATTCTTGAAGCTTTTTCTATTTTTGTATATACCCTTTAATAAAAGCTAATTAGTTGACTAGAAGAAGAGAACGGAATTTTCTCTGCTCTGTAAGTTTCTAACAATGAAACGTTCTTGGAAACTTCCTTTAATCTAAATGAGAAAAAAAAAAAAAACAACCCACAAAACAACAAACCAAAACCATTTTGTAACTGTTTCCAGAGACCACCAGCTGAAGATGTTAGGCCCTTACACTGCACTTCCACCCCCCAGCTCCGCGTGGTGGTAACCTCTTGCGGAGTCATTTGTTTGTATAAGCAGAAACCCTCTTCAAAGCAGTCAATTTAATATGGTGAAATATCAGTTTGTTCTAGATCTGCTGTAGTTGTGGAACTGTAACTGTCTGTGAATCGGCATACACCACCTGTATGTTATCAACTTGTGAATTTTATTGTTTTGCCTTCCAATAAACACTTTTTTTTTTTAATAAAAATAAAATGGCAGCCCATATTTCAGAGTGGATTCCCCTAATTGGCTATAAGCCTTCCCTGTCTTGAGTTTATCTTAACTTGGCATATGTTTGAGTTTGTAGTAACCTGACAAGGCTAATTATATATAAACACTGTTTAAATATGGCACTAAAGTTGGGATATGGTATTGTTCTGCTGTGCCCACAGTCCTCAGGTGCTGCAGTACAGACTCACACTTCTCTGTCACCACAAATCACACGAGCCACGTGATAAATCCGTGTGTCACCATCATTTCTGCACTGCCTGCAGAGAGAACTGTCTGCTGGGTTTCTTTTTTGCTGAACACTGACACAGTCTGGCTGAAGGTTCCTGCCTCTACTACGTACATTAGTAAAAAATTCAGACGTAGAAAAATAAATTATTTATAATAAGATCATAGCAGTTAGTACAAATCCTTCCAGTACATAGTTTATAACTTATCTGCACAATTTGGAAGGGTTTCTAGTTCCAGCTTGAGGTCTGTAAATGTAGATTTTGCTTAAAATGTGAGGAGTCAAAGCTCCTGTGCTTTCCGAATTTCTTCACGTGCTTGCTCAATTGTTAGAGGTGGGGATTTGTGATTCTTGATGTACTGAAAAAAAAAATAAACACATACACATTTCTTTCATATGTAGATAGATAAATTCTTTCTACTATTTAATGAACCTTCATGTCAAGATACCTGCACTTTTCTGTACTGGCACCAGAAGGTGATTCTTCTGTTGCAATATTAGTAAGATCCGTGCTGGTCTGAGGACAGGTAAATGCTACAGCAGAAAGTTTATTCTTTTAAAACTACAGCCTCCAGTAAGACTTTAAGGTTTTTTACTGTATAAACTCCTGGCTTGTTATAAATAGGTGCACAAGCATTACAGTATTCTTCTATGAAGTAATATATTCAAGGATTATATAAACTTTATCCGATTAATGAATAATACACAAAGAAAATCTGTTTACTGCAAATACTAGAAGGGTTTGGAAAGGAATAAATATCTATGATAGACTGGGCAGCAGCCTAGAGAAATACCTCTTTAGCCTCTTCCAGGGTGTGGTAGTGGAACCTCTCCTGCTCCAGCGACTCCACGAGGGAGAAGTGAAGGTGGTGAATGTTCTCTACAAACTGCTGGGTCAGCATCAGGTGCTGTTTCAACATGGCATTTAAAACCAGAACGGAGGGGCTGTACGCTGTCAGGGCTGCAAGGAACAGAGAGAGTGTCCTTTGGTGACACATTACAGGCAGAGGGTAAGGGCTGAGCAATCCCAGCAGGGCTGAGATGCATAAAATACAGTGAAATAGAATAGTAAGAAATGTTTTTTTTCACTACCTTCTACTGCGTCCGTGCTGATGACGTGGCTGGCAATAGGTATGGGATCAATGTAGCTGTTTCCTACAGGTGGGTCCAAAACTGCAGAGGTGTTTGCTGGGTACAGGAAAACAGAGTTACTGGGTCTGGAGGGTGGGAAGGTTTAGCACTAGAACTTGGATCACCTTCAGCAGGCTCCTGGGACAGCGGTTGCTTTAGAGCCTAATGGGGAATTCTGTCAGCTAAAACCACGCTGAAATAGCTCTATGATCTCCACAGTGGCTGTATTCTTACATTCACAACACGTGCCATGGCAAAAGGCATCTTTTCTAACTCTAGACAGAGTGAAAAATAAAGGTTTTTGTACTTGAACGAAGCTCCTGTTTTCAAGATCACCCGAGTTACATTTTCTCCTCCTCAAATGTGGCAAGAAGTGGCTCTTAACGCTTTTTCCTTTCGGTAACGAGAGGTAGGAAGGAGCCACCCCTCAGAAACAAGCAATAGTCATGTCAGTCTTTGCTAAGTGGGGCCATAGCACCTTCCCAAGAAATAAATACAATGCAAAAAAGAACTCTATGATGGGTGATCACTTCAGTAACACCACAACAGTATCGTTTACAATAGCAAAGATACAATAGAAATGCTGAATTCTATTTGAGAATATTACTCTGGCTAACACTAGCTCATCCACCCAGAGTTCCTGTTGTGGGTTTGGCTTTTTTTTAAGCAAAAACCAGTTCCAAGTTCTTATTCTGTTGGCCAATCTCAACCTTTTCTACAGTCAGCACATCAATGTGTTGGGCTTTAGAAAGATTTTAATTTAATGTCAGCTCGGGGAAGCTAGTACTGAAACTAAGAACTCTACCAATGCTGATTAGGCTGGCGTATAAAATAATGTAAGAATTGCCTGAATAGGGCAATATCTTGTGAACTCACTCTTTGCCCAGCTGTAGGTGAAGGGAGGATCCACTGTCTGAACTGCAGTTTCTCTGACAGTGACTCCCTGTCCCTGGGCACGCCGCTCTCTGCTACGTAAAGGTGATGATGCTGAAGGTGAGTGTTTTCCAGAGTACGTGCGGCTCTCGGAGTGTTCCTCTGGCATTTTTGATCCAGATTCCCCATCTGTTGTAGACAGAGACCTTTCAAAGTCTTCAGAATATTCTGTATTAAGAGTTCTCTCGTCATGATCAAGATAATCCTGTTTGTGTCTAGGAAAATCTGCAGAAACTCCACTTAAATGCTCGGAGATTTCAGCTTCAGTCACAGTTTTTTCAATATCCCCTTCAGAAGCATCATTCACATCAGTTACTACACTTGTCATTTTAAGAGAAGTTTGGTCTTTTTCCACCAGGAAATAATCTTTTTTTGGATTTCCGTTTGATTCTTCAGTAATTTGGATGTCTGTCCCCTGTAAACCAAAACCCTGATATATTAGGAGAATCAACAAAATATAACATAGAATATACCTCCATTATTCTTCATCCCTTCTACTGCCTATCACCGAGCACTACTATATTAGGCAATAAAAATGTTCTCTTTTGTGTCACCACACAAACTGTGCAGTGTTTTTACACTGAGTAAGGCAATGCAGGCACTAAAGAAAGAATTTGGTCAAGTTTCAGTACTGTAAAATCCTGCTCTAACCCTTACATCCATCGAGATATGCCCACCTCGGGTGGCTGTGAGTAGAAATATTCATTTCAGACTGGTCACCCTCCACCAAACAGTGGCAGAAGGGAAATAGGTGCTACTGGGGAATTTCTACTTACATTCTGCTTTAATTCTGCTGCCTCACTGCTGACATTCGGTGCCAAATCATCAAGGCTCAGGATATTCAGTCTGAAATCTGCAATCAAATGACATGAGAATTTGCATGAAAACTACACTCTGCTTTCCCTTAAGAGAGAAAAGTGGGGAAAAATAAGCATTCCTTGTTTAAAGCGTAATATTAAAAAGTAATAGCCATCAATCACTCTAAATCTATACCTTTGCAGCAGCTCTTTCTAAAGTTTCCTCCTTTCCTGACAGTGGATCTGCCAACCCAAGGTCAAGAGATTCTGGCTGCCCCTCATTTACACTTGTTCTCACTCAGACTCATTAGTATGTTGTCCCACTCATCTATGAAAATTATTCCAAATGTTGTAATTGTTTTAACATCATAATTAAGTGTCACCCGGGGAAGAAGCATTAAACTGAACCCATTCAATCAAAACCCATGAAAAATACAAATATATTACACTCAACAAAAGAAACAGATCAATATAATTCCTTTGATAAAGCCTTGGTTTATGTAAAATTGCACTATTGAATCTTTTCAAAGTGAGTATTTGCCCATGTTTATTACTAAATTTATTAGTAGATTATTAGTACAATTCATGCCAAGTCTACTGAGACAATATTTTAGAACTAACTTACCGTTTGAGCTGCTGCTGGTTGAATCTTCTGCATCATCTGCTTTTGAAAACAATTCGTCTAATGATTTTATTTCACTTCTGTCACTGTCAGATGATATTTGGCTTTGCTTGGTGTTGCCTTTTCTGGGCAGAGTAACCTTTACAGTACCATCCTTCATGGAAGAAGACAGCGATTGAGATCTTGTATTATGTCGTACCGACAGGTTTCTGCTGGATGCTGAAGGTGTTGGTGAGTTAACTCTACCAAAAACATTTTTCTCCGAGTCTTTGCTATGAAAATGAGATTTTTTAGATACTTCTGTCGGTGAAATTTCCTTATGAGATGGAGGGGGCATTCCCGATGAAACTGGAGTCTTACTCTTTTGAAAAAGATGAAAAAGAGATTTATGTGTTACTTCATTATGGGTAGATCACTAAAAAGGAAAACAAATTATAGTGGGTAAACTCCAGGAATTTTCAAATGTGAATTGAAGTTAAATCATATCCTGAGCAAGCCACAAATGCAAAATTAAAATTTTATGGCGTTATCTATATAAAAAGTGACCAAGCAATTTAACACAATTTCATAAATGTGTAAATAAAACCACATAATACAGTGAAGTCCATATTTACCTTTCCACCCCATTTAGAATCACTGTCAACAACTCTCCAATTCTTATTCCCACTGGCCAACTCCAACGAGCTCTCCATCAATCCTTTCATTTCCTCTTCATCACTATCCAAACCAAGCTGCTGTTTAACAAGAACATTCTTTTTAGGGCTTTGGATTCTTTCCTCTTCCCTAGAGCAGGCATTACTGAGGGTCATATTTCTGGTGCTACCGGCGGTAGCAGAATTCTTCAGGTATTTCTTGCCCCTTGCACTGCGCTCATGACTGGAAGTGGACGAGAGGGACTCTTCATCCCAAGGCTTCTGGCCCAGGGCAGTGGTTTGCAGTTCCATCTGCTTTTTTCGATTCATGATTTTGCTTTCCAGCTGTGCCACTTTCCTCAGAGCCGAGCTCGACCGTGTGCGGGAAGCGTCGCCCGCAGCGCTCTTGGCTACGTCTCTGCTCGCTCTCTGCACGGTGCTTCCTGAAGTCTGGCTCCAGGGGCTTCCAAGTAGGTTTTCATGGCGCACCTTTAGGAACCTGCTCCGGCAGAACGGAGCTCTCCCGGTTCCCTCCAACGCTGTGGCAGCCACAGGGAAGTCGCTACAGGAGCGAGGAACCACGCTGCGCCCGGCTGGGAGGGTTCTCCCGCGGGGACCATCGCTGCGTCCCTGCCCAGAAGAGGATGCAAAGAGAAGAGCCCTCAGAGGTGGAGGCAGACGGCCCGGTTCAGCTCCCAGCCCCGCAAACCGAGCAGTCACCCCCGCTCCCGCCCTCCTCCCACTCCCCGTGTGGGCCCTCCCCACGCGCGGCTCAAACACCGGCCCGGGGACAGATAGAAGGCGGCGGCCGGGCCGAAAGCTGCCCCCTCACCTGCCCTCCGCCCGCGGGTGCCCTCTGCGCCCAAGCGATCGCCGCCATCCGGGAGAGAGCGCCCTGAGGCGGTGCCGGCTCCTCCAGGCCGCGGCCACAGCGGTCGGCGCCGCGCCGTATCCCGGAGACCGCGACTCCTCAACATCCCGCCCCCTCATTGGCTTCACGCAGAGTCCCCTCCCTGCGAGCTAGCCAATCCCAAGAAAGCATACTGAGAAGGCCGACTACAAACCCCAGCATGCATCTCGCCGCGCGGGCACGTGACAGCCCGCTCCTCCCTCGGAGGGCGTTAAACCAATCGGATCCCGTATCCTAATAAATTAGGAGAGCGTAGCCAATCAGAGCCAAGTATGAACAGGGTGGGCCCCCGAAGGCGCGAAGCCGGCGTTGGTCGGAGGCGCGAGGCCGTGACGGTGTGAGGGCGGAGGCCAAGATGGCGGCAGGAGCGCCCCGGCTGCCATGTTGCTGGGGCTGGCCCTGCTTCTCGGGGCCGCGCTGGGCTCTGGACGGAGGTTTGGCGAGGAGAGAGGGGGCAGTAGGGCAGCAGTTGGTGACAGAGGGAGCCCGGCACACCGACCATGCTCGTTGACCCTGCTGGTGTTGCAGGACGCTGGGAGAAGCCTGGAGAAGAAATGGATGAATTCTGAGCACAAGGCAGACCTTGGGAGATTTAAACTCGCTGCAGGGAGTTTTTACTGAGATCCAGTGCAAGATAAAGGTATGTGGGTGTCATTCAACATATGCTATGGGAACCAGCTTGAGAGCTGGGGATTTGCCTTTATAGATGTGCATGGCAATAGAAGCATTTTCTCTTTACAAATGGAGAAAAATCTAAGTTTGACTACTAATATACTCACAGGTATACAAACGAGTGAAAATTCTAAATTTTATGCTATCTCCTCACAATTTGAGCTATTTAGTACCAAAGGGAAAACTGTGAAACACGAAGAGAAGATGGACTGCGATGGGGGATACGTTAAGATTTTTTCCCTCACGTTTGGATCAGAAGAACCTAAGTGGAGATTCACATCGCTACATCGTGTTTGGTGAGTTTATTTCTTCATTACTGAAATACTGTCACTGCTGCTGTGCAGTTCTTGTTTGTGGAAATGGTAGAAAAAAATATAAAGGAAAACTAATCATCCAACAGCAAAAAAACCCACTGATTGGGATGATCGAATGCAAATTGATGATCCAAATGACATCAAACCTGATATAATTTGCTGTTTATTCTGCATTACTGAATTAATTCATTCCTACTGAATACACATTTGATGTAGTTGAACTGTGCGCCAGTGTTGGTTTTTTAATCTTCCTGTGTTTTGGTGTTTCTTAAGGATTGGGATGAACCTGAATACGTCATGGACACTAATGCTGAGAAACCTGAAGATTGGGCTGATGCTGTGAATGGAGAACAGCATTCAAAAAGGTCAAGAATCCTCGAAAGTGCTATGTCTGTCTTGGTTCTTTTTTACCCCGCTTTAAAAATTCCCTGCCTAATCTGATCAAGAACATGTTGGTGCGTAAAAATGAAATCTTAATATTGGAATCTTGAAAAGGAAAGGGACATAAAGCAGACTGAGGAAGAGCGGGAGAGAGAAGGGGTCACAGAAGAAAAATACTTTGAACAATGCTTTTAAGAAAAAGCTTGAGAGAAAAAAAAAATGTGGAAAGAGTAGAGTAGTGAGGAACACTATCAATAAGCAGGAGCTTTAATTGTTATTTGAAAGAAGGTCATGTTATTTTTACTTAAATGGCTTAGGGATTTTTGCATGTAAGGATTTTGATGGTTTGTTACCAGCTTGTGGAAAGCTTTACCAATAGGGGTTGTATTAAAGCAGAATATTTTTTTTTTAATTCAACATTAAATTTTGTGACTAGTTTCAGTTATTTTTCATAAAAATGCCATAACATAGTTAAATTCTACACAGAAAAGGTTACTATTTTTATTAACTGTATCTTTAACTGCTAAAACATATTAAAAACACCTGTAGTAAAGCACTAGGTTTTGGAACTGTTTTGCGCTTTCAGGGTTTAATAGTAAATGTTAAAACTCATGCTCTTTTTTGCTGAGGAAATACCATAATAAGCTTTTTTATGATATTTCATTGAAAGGTTCAGCGTGTCAGGTGTGCGAAGCGTGTTTCACAACAAACCTCACGCTCCGGGGGAGATAAGCTGTGCTAAGCTGCTGCAGGAACCGTGTGCCTCTCGGGGTTTGGAGGATTATCGTGGCCCCATGGCTGCCACGGACACGGCTCCGGGCGGCTCATTGATGGTTCTGCCCTTGCTCATCTGCTGACAGAACCTTCTAGCGCCCTGTGGGGCCTGAGGGACAGCAGCCTGTCCCTCCACAACTCTTGTGAAATTTAAATGTGTTCAGACAACTCTCTTCCCCTTAAAAAATCAGAGGTGAATAGATACACTGCCTGGAAGATATCTTAAATTATTATATTTTTTTTTCAATAAGATGGTGGGGGAGTTTGAAATGGTGAACGATGAGCTTATTTTTCTGTCTGGCTTGTCGTAACCCACTTCGTAACCTTATTCAGTCACTTCCTTCATCCCTTCTGAGGTTCTTCTGCTCTTTCACGTTTCCTTCCCCTCTCCAAGAACTAACGCTATAAATTCAGCAAAATCTGAAGCCACCCTTCCAGCGCCAAAGGCTTTGCGTTAATCTCTGGGCTGCCTCAGCACGGAGTTTGCTGTGGGAAGAAGAGAGGGAGCGGGAGGATCTGTGGAATCCTCGGTTTCTGGCCTGTGGAGGGACTGAGGTCACATTCTTGTGCTTGTCTGAGTGCAAGACAAGTGTAAAACGATCCCAGTAACGCTGTGGGGTGAAGAATGGGCAGAGCCATTGAAATATGCTGTCGTGACATTGTCACCCTCTACATATTCCTTTTGATTTAGCTTTTATATGACTACAGTGCTTCAGCCTCCTTCAGCCTGCTGTTCAGTATTTACCCGTTCCGGGCAGGGATTTGTTCATTTGATTTAGCTTTTATATGACTACAGTGCTCCAGCCTGCTGTTCAGTATTTACCCATTCCGGGCAGGGATTTGTTCGACTTTGAATATTGATCATAAACCAGAGGAAGCTTAATGGGGTGAGGTCAGTTTTGAGCAGGTTTAGGGTAACGAAGTAAAATAACTAGGTTGGCCCAGGAGAAAGTTGGATGCGGGTCATCCAGCTACAAAAGGTCGATCGGTTACCTTGAAGAGCATCTTTTGGGGCGGCTGCCGTCTCCCCTAGACCCGTTTTGTCCGTAGCGTTGTAGGTAGGTCAGGGCCAGCCCCGCCTGAGGCGGCCATGGCCGGGAGCAGGGCGGCTGCGGGCAGCGGGGGCTGAACCGCGGCGGGACGGGACAGCGGGCGCAGCCCCGCGGGGTGGGGAGCGCCTGCCGGGGACAGATAAACCCTCGCCCGCTTTGTTCCGCCTCCCCGACCCGCTCCCGGGCGGCGGCCCAGCAAGGCCCCGGCCCTCCCTCAGACACCCGCCCAGGCCCGGCCCAGCGGGGCCGCGCGGTGTCAGGCGCGGCCGGGCGGCCTCCCGCCGCCGCTCGCCCCGCCTTCCCCCCGCCCCGGCCGCTGCCCGAATCAGTGGGAGGAAGATGGCGGCGCTCATCCCCCTCAGCCAGCAGGTAACCGGCCGGACCCTACCGGGGCGGGGGGACAGCCGAGGGCGGCTGAGGGGAGACGCGGCCCTCTGGGCCCGGCGGCGGAGGGCCGATCGGGGGGGGAAGGAGGAGCGGGCCCTCCCCGCTGCGGGTCCCGCTCCCGCGGGCGGGTGAAGCCGGGGCCGGGCCGGCGCTGGGGTATAGGCCCTGCCTCTCCCCGCCGCCGCCGGGGAGGGGGCTCGGCCCGCGGGTGGGGAGAGGGTCGGTGCGCGGCGGGGAGCAGGCCTCGGGCCGGGGGGAGCGGCCCCCAGCCGTCGGGCCGGGGCTGAGCCTCCTGGGGCAGGCGCTGGTTCTTCTTTGGGGGCACAAAAGGCGCTGGCGCCCTCCCTTGATGGAGGCCCCGGAGCTGAACCCCTGGGGAAGGAGAAGGGGAAGGGGAAGGGCAGCGCCGAGGCTTTCTGGAGGCTTTCCCTCCCCGGGCTGCAGCTCCTGGGGCTGGGCCGCGGGCGTTGGGGGGCTCTGAGGTGCGGGGCTGGGGCTCGCTGTCTGCTCCGGACTCTTCAAATTTGGTCGCGTCACCCTGTTTTCCTACTTGTAACACGGGGTTAATGTCGCCTGTAGGTGTTGGGGTGTCATGACTGTGCTTAATGTTTGGGAGGTGCACAAGTAGTGTGGCCCCAGCGCGGGTGCACCAGGACAGGACTCGGTGTGAAGGAGTGAAAAGGAGATTTTTCACCCATCAGCAGGAGAATATGAGGGTTCTGAGGGGAGGAGAAGAGCCTGGACCTTGGAGCTTGTCTCCACAAGGAGCGTGGTTTGCCTCTGGGAGAGGCTGTGCTTCAGCTCTGCATTAATGCTTGGGATCTTTGGGTAGATTTTTGTTGTTATTCTTGTTACAAGGTTCTTGATTAACTTCTCACCCAAATAACTCAGACCTGAACAATGTGATTACTGTTTATTCTTTCCCGTATTCCTATGAAGATAGTCAGTTTACTTATTTCTTTCAAAACAAAAGCAGCAACACCCCACCACCCTCCAAGGCCTTGAAGTTAAAACTATTTTCTACGCTGTGGCTAGGCCAGTCAGGAATTCAGAACAACTGCTGTTGATAGTTCAAATTATTTAAATTTATCAATTTCCTTTTAATAATTGACTTTTATTTGTGATGCTCTGAAAATTTATCTTTTAATAGAGTTATGTGATGCTTGGGTAATACGTAGTTCGCTGTGTATCCTATTAAGAGAGCGCACCGCTTTTTAGCTTCTGGATAGCAGTAGGAGTCCTGTTTAAAATCTCTTTAATTAAACGAACATGCTCAGAAACACCTGAAAACACCCATGTACATGCAGACTGCTACCAAAAGTTTTCAAGAGAAATAATGTGGTGCAAAATATATCCATAGAATAAACTCTGGACTTGAAAGAGTTTGTTGTGGAACTTCTATCTTCTATAGTACATTGACAAAATATCTCAAATATTTATTATATTAGATATCCTCCTTCTGTGTTGTTTGCATTCTAATTGATATTTGAGAGACTGGCATCAATGGCATTTTATTTTGTGTAACGTTATCTATTATCTTTATGAAACAGCGCTGTGTTCTGTGAACATATCAGTAATTTTGGGTACTATTTTACAGCTTACTTATTGGAAGCATTCTAGGTTTCAAACTTTTTTTTTCTCTATTGAACCGTGAAGTGGAATTTAGCTGTAATCAGGGCAGTAAGCAGAATTTCCTTAGAAATTAATAAACTTCCTCTTTTAATAGCCTAGATTTCATGATTAATGCAGAGATACATGCTGGTTATAATAAATGCCAGAAATGGCATTAAAAAGAGTAGGAGAGGTTACACGTGCTGTCAGGTTGAAACACGTTCACTCAGAAAGATATAAAATAAGAATTTTGATAGTGACATATTAGGAGCTGTAAACAACATGGGTAGTTCAAGCATGTGAAAGTGTTTAATAATATTTTTTCTCGTAAATTAATTTTATTATGGTTCTATCCTATAAAATTAATGGTTTTATGATATTTTTATGGAAGATATTTTATTTTATTTACCTGTCTAACTTAGAGTATGCAAACCAGCATTTCAGCTGGCTGTTTCAACTGGCTATGCATAAGCACAGTTGGAGAGCAAGCATGTAAAATCACTTCTTGGAGTTAAACAACAACGGAAAATGGCTTTGATTTACCTTTGATAACTCTATTTTCTTGAATATTTGGTCACCTTATCAGTGGTCTTTCCACTGTGCTGGGCACATTCAACCTACAGCCTCTGGAGGTTACGGAGAGTTACAGGAGAGATACCGGGACAGCGCAGATCATTTTGTAGCTCAGTCTTCTGAGACATCTCGGGATACTCATCGAGTAAGGGCAAAGGTGATCAATCTTTCTGGGGCAGCAGCAACCTTCTTTTGGTTCTCATCTTTGTGGAACACCTTGTTTTTTCCCCTTTCACAGTACCTATTTTCATCCATCATATGATGTGACAACAGTGGTTGAACAGGAGGACACCAAGGAAGTAGTTCACCTGATCCAGAGTTCTTTGTGGCCCGGAGATGACCTCAGGAGAGAAGGCTGCTAGGAACTGCCTGTGTTCATTGTTCTGGTGGCAGCAGCTTACGCCTGCCTTTTTCCCAGACCTGTGTTAAGGGACATGGAGTCATATCCATGTGCTTTACCTCAAATGCAATGTAGCAGATCTGCTGTGAGAGCACAAGTTCAAGTCTCGAACTTCAGATTTTGTAGGAAATCAACTTAGAGGTCGAATAACAAGGCCCCAGGGTTCTGAAGTGTCTGTTCGGGAGATGGTGCACAGTGTTGGTCATAGGTGATGCTTTTGGGAGTGTTTAGAAAGGCCTGCAGTGACAGGACGAGGGGCAATGGCTTCAAGCTGGAGGGGAACAGATTTAGACTGGAGATGAGGAGAGGGTTCTTCACTGTGAGGGTGGTGGAGCACTGGAACAGGTTGCCCAGGGAGGTGGTTGAGGCCCCTTCCCTGGAGATATTCAAGGAGAGGCTCAACGAGGCCCTGGGCAACCTGGTCTAGTTGGGGGTGTCCCTGCTGACTGCGGGGGGGTCAGACTAGATGACCTTTGGAGGTCCCTTCCGGCCTGGGCAATTCTATGATTCTATGAGTAGGAATAGAAACCGGAGGGTTTTTAACCTGTAAGTCAGACTGAACTTTAGTACAGCAGGTAGTTTGACCACTCATCAACTGCAAACTCTTCAAAATGTTTTTCATGCCGACGTTTGCCAGCATCGACTCCGTCTCATCTAGGTTCTCCATCGTCAGATGTCATCAAATTAGATTCCTCTTGAATAATAGTGATGTGGTCACATGTGGTGACGGGTAGATAGGCGGCTATGCTATTTTTATCACTTGAGCCCATTTTGTCTGGTCTGCTTCATCACAGAGATGCAGTCATTTAGGTAAATCGGTCAGAGAGGTTTAATCTTTGTAAAATTCTGCAAGTAGAGAGCCGAGCGCTGAAGTGCTTTCCAGCAGCACTTGGATGAGTATATTGCCGTAGAAGCAAACTTCAGAGCCTTTCAGAGCATCACCCTGGCTTCCTGCCACCTCTCTCAGGTAAGTCAGCTGGATGTCACAGCTCACAGTACCAGATGAGGATGACAGGAACGTCTGGTGATGGGATGAGATCATGCAACGCTGCTGCTGGCGTGGTTTGCTCTGGATCTTGGTATGAATCCAGTCTCTGCGTGCTGTAGGATACCCGCCAAATTACTTAGAGGAGCTTGTAGCTGGTCTTTGGCTGGCTTCTCTGAGCTTTCTGAGAAATGAGAAGTATGTAGTGTGGTGGTAGTTGGCTAAAACGTACTAGATTTTATTCTGAGTTGGACAGACTATTTCCTACTTCCACCTTTTCTCTGAATGATGCATTTCCTACAGAAACATGGTGCTTATCTATGCTGATCGTTTACAAGCCAGGGAAAAGATGAGTCAGATTTGAGTTATGGTCGCAAGTTTCTTCTTCTGAACTCCTGTCATAGAATCATAGAGTGGTTAAAGTTGGAAGGGACCTTAAAGATCATCAAGTTCCAACCCCCCTGCCCTGGGCAGGGACACCTCCAGCCAGACCAGGTTACTCAAAGCCCCATCTGGCCCAGCCTGGCCTTGAACCCCTCCAGGGATGGGGGAGCATCCAGCTACCAAAGAGCAATAGCTTCTAGAGGGTAGTGATGTTGGAGAATGCAGTGGCTTATATTATTCATGGGTATAAGCGAAGTACGTTTAAGAAGCTTAGGAAATTCTTCTGAAAATGCATGGGTTTTCTGGCCAAGTAGGAGTACTGATCTTCAAAGAGTTGGTGTTTGCTCCTTTGGTTAATAGGGGTTAGTTATTTTGGAAGGTTCCTTAAATTAAGATTTGGCATGTTTACAACAAACTTACAGGAAGATTCTCTTGGTGTAGTACAAAATTTTCATGCTCTTCATTGGTCTTTCATCATATTTCTGTCTCCCTTCCCCTCAGTGTAGGAAAAACATTTGGAAATCCATGTGGATGCCAAGGAAGTGCATGGGTTTTCTGGCCAAGTAGGAGTACTGATCTTCAAAGAGTTGGTGTTTGCTCCTTTGGTTAATAGGGGTTAGTTATTTTGGAAGGTTCCTTAAATTAAGATTTGGCATGTTTACAACAAACTTACAGGAAGATTCTCTTGGTGTAGTACAAAATTTTCATGCTCTTCATTGGTCTTTTCTTTCATCATATTTCTGTCTCCCTTCCCCTCAGTGTAGGCAGAACATTTGGAAATCCATGTGGATGACAAGGAAGGAGGTAGCGTTTGGGAGGTGACATACCAGCCATCAGAGGTTGTGAGAAATAGTCCTTCGTCAGGTGTCTGACACGTCCTGTAGGTGGAGAGCAGTTATCTCAAACAGGCTTTGGGATGTTTCAACATCTCTGTGTCTCACCCATTAAACTGTGCGTTATTGGGTTGTTTTGTTGCTTGTTTTTTAAGGCTTTTGACATTTAAAAGGGGTGACTTGTTTGAGATTGGACTGTAATGTTTTTGCTGGAGAATGTTGTGGAGGTTTAACCTGCACATCAAACAGGCTTTGGGATGTTTCAACATCTCCGTGTCTCACCCATTAAACTGTGTGTTATTGGGTTGTTTTGTTGCTGCTCTAAGGGGTGACTTGTTCGAGACTGGATTGTAATGTTTTTGCTGAAGAATGTTGTGGAGGTTTAACCTGCACGTGGCTAGAACTTGTGTGGCTGTTGTAGGAGGCAAGTGAGAGAAAATGGGTGTTGGGGCTTCTGCCTCTTCAGGTGTTTCAGTTCCCATTGGAATTTCAGCAAGAGGGAAGAGGAATCTCCTTGTTTAGTGTCCCCAAAGGGCAGGGAGCACCTTTGTGGCTTCTACTTTGGCATAATGCAGTGATAACACCAACCTGAAAGCTTCAAACAACATTGTTAGGGAATTGTGACCATTAACCATTAATTAACCATTCATTCTATTTTTTTAAACTCTATTTCAGTTTAAGATCCTAGCCCTGAAAATGTATAAACACGGGCATATTTTGATACCAGGGCTCTGTCTCTGTGTGTGTATATTACTGTCTGCTGAAAATATTCTATAAGTATATTTAGGGTGCAGGAGGCAGCCAAGTCAGTGTTAGGTTGAAAACTCTGCCTTTGATATCGGTGGTTCTCAAACTGTGATCTGAAATACTTTGGCAGACAGTTCAAAGCTGTTCTACAAAACCTTATTACCATAAAGTGTTGTTAATTAAAAGTGCGAGTGTAAGTATGAACGCTGGCGAATAAGAAGGTTTAAGAGGTCAGAGTATTCTGTTGGCTGCAAGTTGTGGGGGTTTGCTGTTATCCAGGCTTAGATTTCAAGTATCCAGTTTGGAACACAGCAAATTAACCTACAGTTCTGTATTTTTGATACAAGTAATACACAAACTATAGGCTTTTCTGTCAATCCCTGAAGTTGGGCTCCTTGTGATTGCAGTTCATTCTTTGTTTTTCAGTTTTCTACTGGGAATCCGTTATATGAAACCTATTACAAACAGGTAGGCTCTTAAAAAAAATAATTGAAAAATAAACCGCAATTCCCTCTTCCCCAAGATTTCCCCCTTCCCTTTCCCCATTGCAGTGCTAAACTGTAAATTCTCTCTGCTCAGTGTTTTTGTGTACTTGTCTAACTTCTTTTGACCTCGAGAAAAGAGGTGTATCATTTGTTCTCTCTGCTTTCGTGACAGACGCGCTTCAATTGAATGTGAACTTTTATCTTTCAGGTAGATCCAACGTACACAGGGAGAGTCGGGGCAAGTGAAGCTGCGCTTTTTCTTAAAAAATCCGGTCTCTCTGATATTATCCTTGGAAAAGTAAGTTAAAGGAATTAGATAATGCAATAATTATCCGTGCAGTTGCTTAAGTGCAGCTAACGTTGAGCAGAAGGGGGTTGCAGAAAGGAGTTTGGTGGAATGCAAATCAGATCCGTGGAGCATTAGGTTAACCACAGATGGGTAATAGCTCCAAGGGATTGTTTTAAGTTTCATAGGAATCTAAAAGGAGAAATTGTCTTTTGTGTTGTGTCTTTCGTGCAACATTTTTGTTGCTAAGTTGAGAATTAAATAGTGTGGTATGTCATAACTGGAAAGCTGCACTGAATGGTTCAAGAAGACATAAAATGTGAACTGTTGAGGTGAGTTAAGTTTTATTTTAAAATCCCAATGGCTTTTATTTTATATCTCCACAGATATGGGATTTGGCTGACCCAGAGGGTAAGGGATACTTGGATAAACAGGTAAATGAAATGTGCCTGTAGAGTACTCATGTTACCTCCCACAGATTAGCCTTGTTTCAAGAAAACCCTGTTACCAATAGTAGTTATCCTTAGCTTTTTTTTTAAGTTTTTGTTTAAAAGGTGAGGGTTTTTTCCTAGCACTGCTCATATCTAAGTATATTACTCAGTGAGGCTGCTGGAGAAGTTTGGATGTAATTTTCTGTCTCGCTTTTGTTTTGTAAATAATTGGTGTATGTGATACATAGATGCATATTCATCTTGCATGAGAAAATATAACTAACGCTACTAAAAACGGCTTGGAATAGTAAATACCACCTTGTAAATATGGAGAATTTTTTTAAAACATTATTGATTTTCAAGAAAAAATGTTGACATCTAAGTTATGGGAGAGTCCTTCCTAAAAATGAGCTTTGAAGTTTTCTACTTTTTCTTCCATGTTATTGTGAAATTCTGCCAGAATCATCTTTAAAAGCAGTGGGGTAGTTGTCACTGTGCAGTTAACTGAATGGGGCTATACATCTGTTGTTTCCATACTTCACTGAGTTGCACATGTACAGTGTAGTAGAAATCATAAATGGGTTATTGAAGACTTTGGTTGCTTTTTTAATAAAAACCACTATTATTTGTAGGGTTTCTATGTCGCGTTGCGCCTGGTAGCATGTGCACAGAATGGCCATGATGTTAACCTGAGCAGTCTGAACTTGACTGTGCCACCTCCCAAATTTGTAAGTAATATCTACCTCAATGTATGTGTGTGTTATATGAGAACACTGAGATAATCTTCTGTTTCATAAACATCATGGTTCTGAGACTTCAGGCTGCTGTACCAGCCCCTTCCTGGGCTGCAAAACTGATCCAAGTTTAACTATGCTCAGCTTGTTTGGGAATTTGATGTGGCTGAAGTCTAAATTTATGAAAGAAGAAATGAAGAGAAAAAATACTGGGTTTTGGCTTGGTCAACAGGACCAACCTCAATAAGGGCATGGCTGCAGTTTTGCCTGCAGCAGCTGCTGTGGAACCTCTTTAACTTGTCTTAGTTCTGTGTTTGGGTACTTTAATGCACCTGAAGTCCTTATCAAAGTACTATAATAGTATAAATCAGTATGACTTATTTTTTTATTTGGGCACACGTGCAGCCCTTTTTCTTTCAGTGCAGTTAAGCTTCGTATCTATAACCATCTTTTAAAGCAGTTAGTAAGGATTGGAGACAGGAGTGTGTGTATTATATATATGTAGACATATAAATAAAAAAATCTTTAATTTTTAGCATGACACTAGCAGTCCTTTGCTGATGACACCACCTTCAACAGAGGCTCACTGGGCTGTTAGGGTAAGTGTAAAAGACAACACATTCCATCCATTCTTTAAAAGTAAATATTTTCCTCGTCTGCAATTTTCCCAGTGAGAGAATTTTGTATCAAGTATATTTCCCATTTCAGAAGTCCTCCCTTTCTGATGACAGACTTGTGCACAATAGAGAATATTGAGCTGTAGTTTTATATTGGAAATAAGTATTAAACAAGGCTTTGACAACCCCTGGTGTGATGTTTTTAAGACACAATGAATTTTAATCTTCGGTCTGCCTGGATTTCTTCCAGGATCCTAATAGTAGGCATTTTTATGTTTGTATAAAGGAACCCCACTGAGAACAGCAAAGCATTTCACTAAATCCATCCTGAAGTATGAATTTAAAGCTTGAGTTCATATGTTCTTATTATTATCCAGTGATACACACAATATATATCATTGGAAAACAGTAACTTTTGGTACATACAGGGGTATATTTGTATTTAGGTAATTTTCAGATGCAAACATTTTACAAAAGGCAGGAATTCAATAGAATGTCTTCTAAAGCTGATTCTTTTTTTTTTTTTCTTGTGCTGGCATGTTGTACTTTAAAGTGGGAAGCAGATTATTTGGGGAGAATAGTTTTTAGTTCCACAGAGTTTGTCAAAGTTTGTTTAAAATGTGGTCAGCAGTGTTTGAATCGGAATGCATTGTCCTTCTAGAACAGTGCAGGAACATATGTTGAATGCTGCATGTTAAAATCTCATAGCTACCATAACCTTAGCTTTGAAATTAAGCTCCTAAATGTAGCTCCCTGGGGTTTATGTTGAAATACAGCATGGTGGCACTTGCAAGAAAGCTTGGAAATTTAGAATGAATACGTTACTGACCAGTCTTAATTTCTTGCAAGATCTCATTTTCAACACTCACACAGGCACACTTTTTTACTTATTCAGGCTATTTCTTACCAACTAGGTGGAAGAAAAAGCAAAGTTTGATGGTATTTTTGAAAGCCTTTTGCCAGTAAATGGTTTACTTTCAGGAGACAAAGTAAAACCAGTACTGATGAATTCAAAGCTACCTCTTGATATCCTAGGAAGGGTAAGTATGCTGTTTAGATTTAGCTATTCTCTATTTAGCTTCTCAGAGTTGCAATGTTAAATATTTAAATCTAACTTACCAACATAGATCAAGTTTTGGCTGAGATTTTACATCAAGTGCATGCTATAAAGCAAGAACATTAAGTAGGCTCTGAAGTCTTCCACTTACAAATAAGAATAATAGTAGTAATTTGGGCCCTAGAGTAGATTGGCTTCATTATCTCTGTATTCATTTTAAGAGCTGGAAATCTTGATTGTAGTTGTTTAAACACAAGAGAAAGCTCTCCTAAACCATAATAGCTTTTATAAGATTATATTTCACTGTTTTGTCAGTTTTACAAATACACGTTATTAGACATACCATTAAACCTATCTGCTGTTTGTACAAGAGAACATTTTAAAACATCCTCATTTATTGTAACTGTCAAATCGTCAAGTTTTTTTTTCATGTATATTTATAAATACTTCTGAGATCTGAGCTTAGTGCATCCATTGCATATTTGCAAGGGAAGCAAACCTTAAAGTATTTTTCTGCTTCCATTTAAAATACATGTTCTTTAATGTTTTGCATATTGATATGACTGAGAACGAATACATCACTGTAAAAGCTGTTACATACTTTCATCTCTTCAGGAAGAACTGCTTTTTTCTCTGTATTATCTACAAAATCTAAGTATGGCTTGTTTCAATTCTGTGCCACTGTGAAGTACTTGGTCTTGAAAGGATTTATATTTTATCCTGTTGTTGTCACGATGGAAATTCAGGAAGCTTTTTCCTATTCCAGAAAAGTTTGCAGACAAGAGAGGGGACTGAGGAAACGGGGAAAGGACTAATGAACTCACTGAGATTTGTACAGGATCCAGTGATAGAGCAGGGCGTGGAGTTCAGATGACTGAGCCTCAGTCATAGCAGTGTGTCCCCTCTATTGTCTCCAAGTCCTATTGGTGATTAAACGGTGTTAGTTGATGGCTGAGTAATACAGTACCCAAAGTTTTGGATCCTTCTAAATCTTCCGTGTGTTTCCTTGATTGTACGTGACGTAATAACGAATGGAAATTGATAGAAGCTGGAATTCTCTCCTGTAGAAAATTTTGGGGGGTGGAGATATTTTTTTGACTAAAAATTAAAACTAGAAATTTAGGAATGGAATGCAAATTAGAAATGTATTGGCTTTTCTAAAATATTTTAACTTTCTTCTAAGTCAAATTTGGAGAATCCACTAGCTCACACCCCCTGGACAATTCCGAAAGCCACCTCTGGATGTTCTTAGTCAGTTCGATGACTCCTTAATTACAACATAGAAAGATGAAAAACTTGCCTGTGTGTTGCATCCAGAATTTCTTAGAGCCAGTGTTGATTCATGTGGCTGGAAAACTTTTAATCCAGTCCATTTCATCAGGGAATGTTTAACTAGGCCTGAGATAACTAATGTGATCTTCACGAAAATCTATTAGGAGTCTTAATTAAATGATAAACATCAAAAGCACAAAATGCAACTTGTTCTCTAAATCACTGTTTTTCTCATATTTGCTGTAGGTCTGGGATCTCAGTGATATTGATAAAGATGGTCACCTGGACAAGGATGAGTTTGCTGTGGTAGGTTGCTTTAAATTCTGAATTCACAGTGTGTCTGCTAAAGCAAATCACTCCGTTTTTTCTCAAGAGCTTTGCAGCTTTCTCTGCTACAGTCAACTTCTAATCTAAATTGTTCACTTGGAGCTATTAAATTATCTTTCTTAAATCCATCTACTGACTCTTGCCTGTGTCATTAAGGTTAAACATTTTGGAATTACATTCAAAATTGTCTGCTCTGGTTTACATCTCTAATCTTGCTGTCTGTGTTTTATTAATATGTAAAAGACTGACACTGGAAAATCTTGTCACTTTTCCTTCTAATTGTTAATGTTATCTGACCTTTTTGCCTTTGCAGGCAATGCATTTGGTTTATAGAGCTCTTGAGAAAGAGCCAGTTCCTTCACTATTACCCCCTTCTCTCATACCACCTTCTAAAAGAAAGAAGACACCTGTCTTTCCTGGGGCGGTTCCTGTTCTTCCTGCAAGTCCTCCACCAAAAGACAGTCTCCGCTCTACCCCGTCTCATGGTAGTGTCAACAGTCTGAACAGCACAGGGAGTTTGTCTCCTAAACACAGCATCAAACAGGCACAGGTACAAATATTATTTTTTTTTTCCTTTTTCTTCTTTTTTTTTTTATTTATTAGTAAACTGCAGGAAAAAATAAAGCTGCATTTTTATTTGTGCCTTATGTGAACGCTTTTTTTTTTTTTTTTTTTTTTTGTATTAGTAAACTGCAGGAAAAAATAAAACTGCATTTTTATTTGTGCCTTATGTGAGCACTTTTCTGAAAATATATTCCTTATTGGGGGATGGAGGGGAGGGAATGAGGATGGTAAGACTTGGAAGGGAAGATGAGCAGGTGAATTTTAGCCGGAGTGAGCATGAGGTGGCAAATCTTATGGTGGATTTTCACTTCCCATAGAGAGGTTTTGTTCATGTGTCTGCTTTAATACCAAAGGAATCATTAATTTACCTTCTAAAGCTCTTTAGAATGATGACTTACTATGCCTAGTTGGGTCCCTATTTCCATGGAATGAATGCTTTTCAACTGATGAATAGCTGCTGATCAGTATTTATAATTCAGATTAAAAGTATTAAGCTAAAATAATGGAAAAGAGGAAATACCTATTTACTGATCAGATTTGATTGTGCAAGATGTTCAGCACATCCAGGTCTGAGTAATGTCATATATACTCAGTGTGTTGATAAAGTGTGATTATCATTCTTTGAAATATACAACTTTGTTTTCCAGCCATCTGTGAATTGGGTAGTACCAATGTCTGAAAAAGCGCGATACGATGAAATTTTCTTAAAAACGGACACAGACATGGATGGGTTTGTGAGTGGCCAAGAAGTAAAGGACATTTTTATGCATTCAGGTCTGTCTCAGAATCTCCTAGCACATATATGGTAAGAATTCCCTAGTAGCTGTATTTTTGTAACTTGCTGATCTTGGGAATCAGATTATCCAGCCAGAGTTGTGATCCTGACATTAAAAGAAAAACCAAAAACCTAAACAAAAAAACCATATTGTGATATGTGGGCTATATGGAAGATCAAGGGCTAAATAAATACTTGCTTTGCTTTTCTGGGAGGGGGGTATAGGTCAGTCTGTGAATTGTGATTGGTTTTTGAAGCTCTAGTGCTCTAAATATTTTCTCAGGGTAACACTGTTCTATTCAGTCACGTATATTTAATAAAATACTGCTTTGTTTATGGAACTCTTTTAATAGAAGCAACAACTGATAAAGCTGAATCAAAAGAAAATTATGTGTATATGTGTATTTCAGGCTTCTTGGTGGAAGAGAAATCAGCTTTTCTTGTTTATAAGTCTGATCTATTTTTTACCAGGGCTTTGGCAGACACAAGACAGATGGGAAAGCTGAGCAAAGATCAGTTTGCACTAGCCATGTATCTCATTCAACAGAAGGTCAGTAAAGGGATTGATCCTCCACAAGTGCTGTCCCCAGATATGATCCCTCCCACAGAGAGGAACACTCCCATACAGGTAAGTCATTGATTATTTATAGATAATACTGAGCCTATGTCCTTAGAAAGTAATAAGCTTTGAGTATTCGTTTTGTAAATGTATTCTTTTTTGTAGTATTATGGTAAAGAATTGCCAAAATTTTTTTTCTTATCTCATCTTATGAAATTCTTTACCATTTGAAAATATACATAAATTTTTAAGAACACAAGACAATAAGAAGAATGCAGTAGAATTATCCCATAAATAAAGGAATAATAACACTGAGAAAAGTCTAGCATGAAAAATACTCCTTTGTCATAGAGAAGGGCTTATTTTAACCTCAGAGAACTGTTAAAAGCTGGGTTAGTAGCCTGTCCCTGATTGTGATCAGTACCAAATTCCTCCCATGAAAATGTAAAATTTTTTAATGGCTAAATGAAGAGTGATGGCTTCCTGGTTTCTGGGACTTGATTGATTCCTCCCTTGTTGCATGGCAATGCACAGTCCTGTATCCTTCACTGTTAATACCATTTTACTGGAGTATCTGATCTTCTACTGAACCCGCTTTATTCCTTTCCTCAGTCGTGTTTTAGTGCATTTCTGAAACTTCTGTTGTGTCAGTACCTTCACCTTTTCTATAAATTATGTACTATTTTCCTTTACTTTCTTACTTTCCCTATCAGAAAGCTTTTGAGCCTCTAAATATATTTTAACTGTTGCTGTTGCTCTGGTCCTTTTAAGGTTTTTCCTATATCCTTTTTCTATAGACTCTGTCAGGTTACTTGACCCCTGTAGGAACTGAGATCTCAGCACTAACAGAAATGCGTCGTGTGAGTAATTGTAACATCCAAAAGAATTCTTGTAACTTCCCAAAAGTTTTTATTTCTGCACCTTCTCCTGCCTCTTTGCTCTTGTGTTCTGTGACACTTGCTCTTGGCATGATGGTGTGTCATGGTGGTGTTGACCTGGTGATGCTGCTTCCTTCACCTATTTGAGTTGCATTGGTCTATCAAGACCATCTTTGCCAGGCAATTTGTTTCTGGCCTCTTAATGTACTAGTTCTCTGAAGCTGTGGGCAAGAAATATACCTTGGTGCAAGTGCTTTAAGCTTCCCATTATTTTCAGTTCATTGTATTTTTATAGGTAGGTTTAAGAATTAGTCTGGATTGTTGTTGTTATTTATGATTACTTAATGGCATAGTAACAAAAGAAATGCTTATCCGACAATGAGGATTTAATTAACTAATTTAAACTGGATATTCACCTATTGTTTCTGCAAAAAATGACACGTTCTACTATGCTCCATGTTTGTGCTTTGTTGGTGGGGTTGTTGTTGATTTTTTTTATATTGAATAAATCCAAACTTTCTGTGGTTACCACAGCACTCTGAAAGTGAGCGAAGCAAGCAATCTGTTCTTTCTTCTTAAAATACTGTTAAAAAATGGTGGGTCTCCTGATTTGTCTTTGACTGGCAGTGAGTTCAGTGTTGCAGTTTTGCTCAGTTGCAGTGATTTATTTTTTTTTCCAAAAAACTACCAATTCTTTTTATAATAATGACAAATTTTGTACCAAACACTGAGATCCTTTCTTAGGAACTTCTAATGACAATTTTCTTGCCTAAAAGGCAAGTGATACCCTCTGCATCTTCCCTGCTCTACACCTGAATGGCTGTAGAAATGACCTGTACTGCAGGAAATTGGACATAATTCCAGAAATTGGCATTAATTTTTGGCAGGGCTCAAGAAGACCAAAGTTACAGTCTGATTTCGTTAAGTTCCCTGGAAGTTCTGCTGCTGGCTACTATAGCAGAGCAGGGGCTTGGGGTTTTGAATTTTAGTTCTACCACTGCCTGCAGTTTATTTGTTGATACTGTGCATGTCCTTTAACTGCTGTGTTTCCACTGTCCCATCTGTGAAATGGGCACAGAGAAAATTCTCCTGTCTCACAGGTAGAATTGCATGGTGTGTTCAGTGGTTGTTGTGTAATAACTTGGTGTATCCCATAGAATTTTGCAAATGCATATAATGAGGATTGTGTCCCACCTCAGCCTTTGTAAAGGAAGATCTTCTGTTACAACTTGATATTTTAACAGACTGTTTTGTTCTTAACAGGATAGCTCAAGTTCTGTTGGATCAGGAGAATTTACAGGAGTGAAGGAACTGGATGATATCAGTCAGGAAATTGCACAGCTGCAGAGGTAATAGCTGTGGATGATTAACAAAATATTGGAGTAGGAGAACCAATTAAGTATATAGTACTGATGCATCCATTAATTTTGTTTTCGTTTAGTCAGTTTATCATTACTTGTCACTGAAGCTGGTGGGAAATCTCCCACTGATACCCTATAATTGGCCAATTATGTAAAGCTGGCCTGGATTCTACCAGGTGACTTCACAGAAGATTGATTGTGGAGCAGATAGTATTTTTTTTGAAGAATAGTTGATATGTACACCTGTACTCCTTTAAAGAATATATCAGAATATGGGCTGGCATTTTTGGCTGTGTGGTGTTTCCAGAAAATTGATTATTTTTGCATGCCCACATGTGTGTGTTGTATTATTTACCTGATCATGAATACATGAGCTTGCTTATCTTACAGAGAAAAATATTCACTGGAGCAGGACATCAGAGAAAAGGAAGAGTCAATCAGACAGAAAACCAATGAAGTTCAGGTAAAAACTCGTATATCATTTATTAATTTTCACTTTAATCTAAAAATATATATAGGGAATTAAGCATTCTTTCTTCTGTCTTTTCTTCTGTCGCTTCTGCACAAGTCTTTTCTCCTTTCATGGGATTTTCCTCAAACGTACAGAAAGATCTTTATATTCCTGTTCTCCATAAGAAATGTTTTCCTTTGGTGCTGGTTAATTTAAAGAGAAGATGATACATGAACAGTTTGAAATGTCTTTTTTGTTAGTGCTTGACTAACACTGTAATTTAGGAAATCATTGTTCAAAGAGTATTGGTTTTGATAATTAGGATAGCTCAATTACATGTGCTCTGTGTCACTGTCTCTTTCTATCCTGTGGGCACTGATTTGTTTCAGTGCAGAAACAAGTTCCTGCAGAAACAAAACGTCTCTTTCTATCCTGTGGGCACTGATTTGTTTCCTGGTGTCTCTTACAAGTTCCTGCAGAAACGAAACATTCATGTGCAGGGAATAACCCATATGACATCAAAAATCTTTTGGGGTTTGGAACTTGCTACCCTCCTTGTCTGTGTTTGATCATTCGTATAAGGCAACAGCTAAATGTTAGTTACAGACTGTGGAATTTCCCCCAGGAACTGCAAAATGATTTGGACAGAGAGACAAGTAACTTGCAAGAACTAGAGGCTCAGAAACAAGATGCCCAAGACCGGCTGGATGAAATGGACCAGCAGAAAGCCAAACTGAAAGACATGCTGAATGATGTAAGGCAGAAATGCCAGGAAGAAACACAGGTGGTGAGTGTAGGTTAATTCTGGACATGCTCAAGAGTATTGTGTCTTTTGTTGAAGGAAATTCTATTTATTTAGTTCTTTTTTTTACCATAAATAGCAATTTCCACATAAATTCAGAGGTCCAAGAAAGGACTTTACAATACTTCATAAATGTTTCAATGGAAAAGGAGCCAAATCCTGAAAACGACAAGATAACCAACTAGGAAACACCTTTTAATTAGTTTTACAATTAGTGTGGTATTTCTGTCATTTAAAATAGTAATTTTTCTTGGTCTTGTTGAGTGTCCTGTGTGCTTCTGTCAAGGATTTTGTGTAACATAGTAAGACGTTCTTCTTATCTTCCTTAGCAGTTGACAGGTTGCTTTATAACTTTCTATTATCTATTATATTTCAGATTTCATCACTAAAAATGCAGATTCAATCTCAGGAATCAGATTTAAAATTGCAGGAAGATGACCTTAATAGAGCAAAAGCAGAGCTGAATCGGCTCCAGCAGGAAGAGACTCAGCTAGAGCAGAGCATCCAGGCTGGGAAAGTGCAGCTGGAAACAATAATCAAATCTTTAAGATCAACACAGGAAGAAATTAACCAGGTATTCACTGTAGTTCATACAACTTCTTTTTTGTTTCTTGAAAGACCAAGAGTTGAACATCACCTAGAATATGTTTCAGAAGAGAAAAAAAAAATAACTGGTTTGTGTAATAAGCCTTTTTGTCTGGTGCTTAGTAGGTTAATTCCCAGTTTGAGTCAGGAAAGGTTCAACTCTGGGGGGGGGAAAAATGCAATAATTGGAAACCATGTTTAATGAGAATGTGAGAATGACAGAGTTCTTGAATGTGTAACATACTAAAGCATTTTTCACTGCTTAGGCAAGAAGTAAACTTTCTCAACTTCAAGAGAGCCATCAAGAAGTCAATAAGAGTATAGAAGAGTATAACGAAGCTCTCAATGGGATTCACGGTGGCAGCCTGACGAATTTAGCAGACATAAGCGAAGGCGTTGGGCAGACGGAAAGAAACAATTATGGAACGATGGTAAAAAAATTGCTGTTGTTTAGTGTATTTTACAATAATTAGGTTTATAACTTGCACCTCATCTGAAATAGTTACAATGTTCGTTTCGTTGGTTTTTGGTTTGCTGCCTTGCGGGGATCATGGTATTTGCTAACAATCTCCAGTGCAGGGTAAAGATTTTAATGCTGGTAGAAAACCTGATTTTTGAACTTTGGGTTCTTATACTGAGATTCTCTTAATTGCAAAACCTGAGAACCATTTGCCAAGTGCAGGGTAAAGATTTTAATGCTGGTAGAACACCTGATTTTTAAACTTTGGGTTGGATCTTATACTGGGATTCTCTTATTTGTAAAACCTGAGAACCATTAGCCAGAAGAAAACTCCAGTAGATGTTTGTATCGCTTTGATTGCGAAGCTCTGTCATACAGGTGCTGGTGCTCATACGGTGCTGTTGCAAGGACTGGTTTCATCAGAGACCCCAACCAGACACAAAACAGGGGTGTGAGGCACAAATGAATGCAGTGAAAAGGTTTCATAGCTTTAGTTACTACTTGTAAAGGATTTTTTTGTAACTTGATTAAGCTATAGGTTGGACTCCACTGACCTCTCAGTCATCAGAATATTGGGATGATGGTTTTCCTGCTGTGTAGTGCTTTGTGATGTGAAATCAGTACTTGGAGCTTTAAGCTCAAGAATGAGTTAAGAAGAAGCAACCTGAATATGACTACTCAGCAGTGATTTCTTGTATTTGTAGTCTACAAATGCTTTGTGGATTGTTTTCTTTTAAATAACCGCCCTATTTAAAGCAGAGCTATAAAATAACTGGGAGAAGAGAGTTTTTTGGATAGTGTGGTGGTTGGGGGTTTAGTTTGGTTTTGTTATTTAAGTATTTGAGAACTTAAGATATTAATGAGAGAAACAGTTTAACCTTTTATTGCTACCTATATATACTTCTGACATTCTCTGTAGCCCTAGGCTACACATTTCTTTCTACTGTGCAATTACTTCAGCTTACAAGCCACTTATTCAAAAAGTTCTTTAGGAAATATTTTTTAAGATCACTAAACGGGAAACAAGGTACCATAGAATTTCTGCTAAATGGCTAACTGACCGTTTTAACCGTGCTAAGTAGCTGTAATGTTTCTCCTCTTGATTTTTAGGATGATCCATTTAAGAATAAAGCCTTGATGTTTACCAATAATACCCAAGAATTGCATACAGACCCATTCCAGTCAGAAGATCCCTTCAAATCCGATCCGTTTAAGGGAGCGGACCCTTTCAAAGGCAGTAAGTGACCAATGGCTTACTCAAGACCTTGAAGGCCAATTGTTGAGTAAATGATATTTTCACAAACTTTTACCATCTTGCTAAATAGTGGATAAAACAAATAATTTTTCTATTCTGCATAGGTGACCCATTCCAGCATGATCCTTTTGCAGAACAGCCACCTGCTCCAGCAGGTAATAGCCCTTTTGATGACAGGACGGATGTGATTTCAACAATTTGTAGCCAAACACAAAGATTTGCAAGGTTTCCCTGGCTTCAGGTTTTTAACTTGCATGTGGAAACATAGAAACCTGACAGGGTGTGTGTTCAGGACCAATATGTTAATGACATGCATGTAACTCTTTATTAAGTCCATAATCTTAAAATAAACATGTACTTATTCAAACTTAGTAAATACCCTGTTGAGAGAGGTATCTGGGAGTTTATCAGATTTTACCAAATCATTGTGTATTTTTATAAGAACAATTCTATCAGTGAGCATGAGGTCAAATCTAGAAAGGTTCAGTAAGGACACGCTGGGTGCTACATTCTCTTTACCTTTTAATGCTCCTTCTAGATCCATTTGGAGGTGATCCATTTAAGGAAAGTGACCCATTTCGGAGTTCTGCCCCTGAGGATTTCTTCAAGAAACCGGTGAAGAGTGACCCATTTACCTCAGATCCATTCACAAAACCCCCTGCTTTACCCTCAAAGGTCAGTAATTTTTAAATCTACACGTAATAGATTTCTTTACGATTGACAAGTTTATTGTCTGAAAGCTAAAAGGAATGAAATATCACTAAATACTTCTCTTCTAACTGATAAAACATGACTAATTTTAGTCTTAAGTATGGATTGTTACGGCAATCGGGAGTTTGTTCTCTTCAGTTCCACAATCATGACACATTTTCACCACGAAGATGCAGTTAGGTGGATTTTTTTGTGTCTCTGTTGGGATTTTCAAGCCACCTGCACCCACATTCCCACTGTTTCCCCCCATTCCGTCGCTGTTTCTATTCGTGTGGTCATGGAGGAACTGGTCTGGCTAAAGGATTGCTGAGCCAACCCAGTGAAAGGACTGCACAGAACATCTTTGTTACATGTATAGTCCCAGTTCTTAAGCTGTCCTTATCTGTGTGGTTAGTTTGGGGGATTATGGATTTATTTGTTTTGGTTTTTAATCCTTTCCCTCACCCCTACGGCATTCTCTGACTGTTGCCCCCCAAGAACAACATTCCAGTATCAGTCAGTGGGAGGTTAGTTTGTCACGTACTGTAGGTTTGTATTTAGGTAACAGCAGACTTTTCAAGCTGCAGAGCAACTGTAAACAGCATCTATTTAAAAAGAAGTGATATACAGACTCTCTGAATTAATAAAAATGTAAATGCTTGACCTGAATATTCAGTCTTTGTTGCTTAAAGACTGAAGACTTTGGGATGTCATCTCGTATATTTTCCTGGTAACTAATATTGCTTGTATTTACCCTTTTCACTTGAATGTGTTTTGCTTGTAGGTACTTGGTCTTTTGTTCAAGGCTCTCAGTAGCCAAATGCATTAATAATGCAAATTTCATATAATCAGTCAATTTCGTGCCACTATATACCCACTGAACAGAGTAATCTGAAATTGGAAATAATTTGTGTTAAAGCAGGAGATTTTGATGTGCATAAAAAGACAAGTGCAGGGTATGGCAGAACAGTGATTATGTGTGTCTGTTCTTCTTTAGCCTGACCCTTTTGAAAGCAGCGACCCTTTTACGTCTTCCAGTATCTCTTCGAAAGGTCCAGGTAAGAAGAAAAAAAATTTCCATCAAGATAAATGAGGTGTCTCTTTATGAAAGAGGAGTCAAATGTAAAAGTTCAGAGTAAAGAAAGTGTCTTGTGAACTGTTTGCAAATATCTTTGTGGTCCTATTATGAAGATTAAGTCTTCATATATACTTTATACTATCTTTGTGGTCCTATTATGAAGATTAAGTTTTCATAAATACTTTATACTTGGTTTTTTCTTTTATTTTCTTCTTTTTTTTTTTTTTCTTCCTCCAAACAACTTCCCTTTTATTTTCTTCTTTTTTTTTTTTTTCTTCCTCCAAACAATTGGTAACAAACCTCTTGTTTTATGGAATTGTCTTTAAAAACATCTCATGTCGGGTCAAAATGAATGTATTTTTTAATCACCTGCTGTCGGCACGAAGCATTCTTCAGAATTCTTAAGTATTATTTTCATTTATTTTTTCCCCTGTATCTGTTTTAGATCCATTTGGAACGCTGGATCCATTTGGAAGTGGTGCTTTCAGTAGTGGCGAGGGATTTGCAGACTTCAGTCAGATGTCAAAGGTAAAGGTTACAAGGGAAGCAACTGTCCTTTTAAAAATATATGCCACGGATGCTTTTTTTAAGGGTGTGAGATGATGGTATTTTTTAGCTGACAACCCACTTCTGTGAATTTTTTTCCGATCAACCTCACCAGTTACTTAGCAAAGCATTTTCCATCCATCTCAGATGGTCTTACCAAGACTGGCAGATTCAGCAGGGATGAATCAACTTTTCACAAACATTTTCAAATACCAGAGGAGCAAAAGAAATAACCTCTAGTTTTCACTTGTAAAATAAGGTGGTTGATCAGATATTAATATATTTCAGTGTCCAACCTTCCTGGAGGCTGCTTCTCAGATGCTTCATCTCTCATAGTGTCCTCGCTTGTTTTTAAACTTCTCCAGGTGGAAAACATGGTGTGCTGACGTTTCATAGCTCTTAACAGACTAGCTTTTTCTTTGGTTTCTTGGTATAAACTGAGTAAATGGGGTATTTCAAATAGAACTCAGTCCTTATCTCCTCTCCTGAATCAGTCAGGCTGCTCTTAGCCTTCTGAGATGGAGTTTGGAATTTACAGCTGCCAACCATCAGTTGCCAAACTTTTTATACGCTTAGTTCTACACTAACACTTGAACATTGTAGAGTGAACGTTAACTAGAAAATAGATTATCGTCTCACTGTGACTAATTGAACTTCTTGGGTGTTTTTATTTAGTGGTTTTTGGGGAGGTTTTAGCTCCCCACTAGGTGGCAACAGCCTTTACAAATACTGATGTGTTTGGGTTTGAGTTAGAAGTTGTAGCGTAAATCCAACTGCGAGCTTTAGCTTTGCCTACAAAATTCCTCTTTCTTCATTTCAGGATGATAAATTTCCCTGCGTGGCGTAATTTTTTGGTGCCTTTTTTAATCAATAGGAGAGTTCTTCACAAGAGTCAGCTCAATATAGGAAACATTAAACATATGGTTTGGGAATTTTCCCTGAGCTTTTACAAAAAAGACAAATGGTTGTGTGTAACTTCAGAAAAGCTTGGAAAAAAAGCTCTCTGTTCTGCAATCGACCATGTTTTTCCAGTTTCTATCATCATTCTGTTTATCACAGTAATGGCCGGACTGTAGCGTGACCGTTCATTGCCAAATAGTAAAAAGTAGAGTTTTACTTCCTTTTCTTTTTCTCATCAGCTTTTTTGCTAGGACTAAAAGTTGTAGAAGTACTTAAGTGATTAAGAGCATAAGTACTTTTGAATGCTAACAAAGTCCTAGCACCTCTGTCAGAGGGCGTTAGCCTCTTATACCACTGACATAATTCAGTACATCTGTCCACATTTTTTTTAAGTTAATGCTTTTACTTGAGTTAACTTGTAACTTTCATGAAACAACAGATAATCCACAGTGTGCTTACGTTCTTTTTCTTTTCTTTTTACTCCTGTAGTCAGCAGCTTCAGACCCCTTCGCCTCCTCTTTTGGAGGGGTGGGATTCTCAGATGACCCTTTCAAAAGCAAATCAGACACACCAGCGTTGCCACCGAAGAAAAATGTCCCTCCACGACCCAAGCCACCCAGTGGTAAGGAGGTTTTCTTTTTTTTAATAGCCAGTTCCCCCAGTTTTCTGTATATTATTGCACATAAGGACAAGTTGACAGTTTTCCATCCATAATCTTATATTTCAATCATGGAGGAAGGTATGAGATTATCAGTAAATTGGCAGAAATTGCCAGTAAACCAGACTGGAACTCTTCAGATTGGGAAACAGATGATTAGGGAGTGGTGTGCCAGATAAAAATCACGGATGTAAAATCACTTGTGGCAGGGAAAATGGTGGGGAGAGGGCGGGAAAATTCCAAGTAAGCAGCAAATGAGATTAGTAAATGGCACCTTCAGAATAAACAAAGAGGTTTGCTTTTATACAATACTCTAAATTTAGGATTATTTCTTTTAATTGCCAGAGAATGTGGTGAATGCAGAGAAGTTTCAGTGGGCTTAAGAAAGAGCTGGATAGTTCCTAGAGGAAAAATCCCACAGGAGCAACAGGGTCTACCAAAAGCCAAACTATTCTTTCTGGCTCCTGTGTGGCTGAATGTTTACGAGGTAGTCTGAAGTTGTGGCTCTGTCTTGAACTTGTTTTGATGTTCTTCCTGAGGCTTCTGCCATTTGATGCTAACAAGAGCAGGGTACAGGGCAGACAGACCTGTCCTGATCTGTCCAGGTATGATCATTCTTGCATTCAGGTGTTGCTGTGTTAATTAAATATAAAACACTTTCTGGATATGTAGCTTGTTCCTGCTTCAAGTCCATTATGTATGGAAATTCTTAGAGATACATGAATCTCCTGAATTGAAAACAAGATCTCTTTTAATGGAGATTCAACTTCTACTTGTTCACCCTCCCTAGAATTGATTTTCAAAATACTCAGATACCAGTGAAACTGGTTTAAGAACTGGAGCCACTTAGAGCTGTTGGTTTCAAGTCTCCTTTTACCAACAGTGGTATAGTTCAGTCAATACTAGCAGTGAACATTTATTTGGCTAAAAAAAAAAAAAGCTGGATTCTATTTATGGATAGGCACATAATTTTGCATCAAATGTGTGTCAACATCTAGTATTCTCATGTATCTACTGACAGTGTGAGGAAGCATAATACAAAGAAACCAGATTCATTGTTAACATCTCCCTCTCTAACTCTGGGGATTTTCTGGCTTTCTGCTGTTGCATTCTGTAGCAAAGCCTGCACCCTGCACCCATCCTGTTTATAAAAGGTCTTGTTGATCTGGCTGGTTTTGCAAACCAGTTATGTTAGAACTAGCTCCTTGGATGACATGAAAAGTGCTTTCTACTGCCAGGGTATTCTGAGGATCTCATTAACTATCCCATAGATTGTGCCACAATTTGGAAAACATTTCCTCCAGTAGAATTATAAGCAGGCCATTGCAGCAGCATTGGTTTGGTCCTGTAACTATGGTTTTATTGCTCAAGAGGTGATGATGCACATTAAAACTCTGCAGTCAAATGACAAGGTTGTGTGTAGGTGAGTAGTGATGAAGAGTTGTCAGGAAATCCTCTAGGATTGTGGAAAAGTTCTTGAAGGAGTCTGTTCATGCTTACTTCATCTAAATATATTCTACCATTGAGGTACTTGAGGGCCTTTAATAATAGTCCATAATGTGTAATGATGGCAAGTAGCAAATAATAGGAAACAAATTAATAGAAGCAGTAATACAAAAGCTGAAGGTAATCTTATTTGCCATTGTGAATGATATTTTTCTGTGTTTGGTTTTCAAGGACAGTATGTAAGTGGCCATCTTTTTCTTTTTAGGAAATGTCTACATACAGTAAGTGAGTGTTTAGAGGGTCTATATAAAGTTGAATGAGTCAAACAAATACTGAATACACCTGTATTATCTCTTTCATGTGGTTTCTTTCTGTTTCTTGTTGAAAACATGATTATTCCTAGCAAATACAGTGCAACAGTAGCAGCAAAGCCAAGAAAGAGATGCCATAAGGTTGACTTGCCTACATGGGTGGTTTTTTTTGGATTTATATCTCTTCATTCTCTCTTCTGTACATATGGAGGAATTTTGGAGAACACTTAGCTTTAGTTTGTTTTGAATTTAGATGTGTGCACTCAGCCTTTCATCCGTCTTTTAAAAAATTTGTTTAAATGTGTACCTTCCCCTCTTCTTGGGAGACACAATATTTGTAAGGTTCCGCTGCTTCACCAAAAGCAAATGTTGTTATGATAAAATAGACTGAGGAGGAAACAAAGCAGGGGTTTTTTTAAAGCAAACGAGCCTCATGTGCTTATGCAGTTATACTCCTCCCTTCCTTCCACAACTAAGGCAATCTTCAGTGGTTACTTAAAGCATGAGAAATTATATAGTAATATACTGCGATTCTAGCAAGAGATACAGGCGCACAAGTGTGTGTTAGAAATGGGAACACTGCTCAGAAAACAAACAACAGACAAGAAACTTCCGTTGTTTCTTACCTTTCTCATTGGTCTGTTTAATTAAAAAAACAAGTAGGTGATAAAGATCTTGCTGAAGGATGAACAAATGCAAGTTATTACCAGACAAATCTATAATTTGCCTTTCTCTTCCAAGTTCATAGTCCTTTTTTTAATAAAACTGTTCTTTTTGTTAGGGGGGATTTTTAATATTGAAAAGCACTTGCATGGTTTTCTTGTTAGACAGGTGCAGTGAAGCTCTAATGCAAAGCTTTATGTGTCCTCAACTCTCTACAGTCAAGTAGAAAATACTAATACATATTTTTGCAGATTTCCCAAGTAGTTATTGATAGGGGAACCAGCAAAATCCAGCAGGGATTGTTCCCCATTCAGTGCTTTTCTATCTGCAGAGTTTTTTTAGGAGTTATGTGACGTGCAAGCATTGTCTGAGGAATGTGTCAAGAGTGTCCTGGGTCCAAGAGTGTCCAATCAGGGTATGGCCAACGTGTGCCCCAGTTCCCATCTTGCCCCCGTGTCTTTCCTGCCAAGATGGATGAGGAATCGTGCACCAGGTCTCGTTTCCTCACGAAGACAAAGGCAGAGCAACCCTTTGGCACCAAACATGGGGCTGGGGAAACACTTCAGACATAGCCTCTGCTTACCACACAGTGAAGGCCAGATCAAAAGACCTTCTGATGTACCTGGAAAGGGAATGTGTAGTTCAGCTCAGCTGCTCTCGTATAAAGGCTCTGGAGATGGTCTTCATACCATGCTTCAGGGAACGGTCCTGCTGCTGCCAGCCTTGGACGTGGCAGGGCTGCAGTGGGTGATCATTATCTGCCCTTGCAAATCCTGGCCTGTTTGCTGGCTGCTGGTAAGGTGAGGATTGGTTGGTTGGGTTTAGTTGGTGTTCAGATTTTTTCAAATCTTGGACGTTGAGAAGCAACCATGATCTGCATCAGCAGATACTTGAGTTCACAGCCGCCTGTGGTTGTTATGATCTGGCAGGGACAGACAAACACTTGCTGCTGGGCATGGATTAGATACCCTTGAGATCTATATCTTCCCCTTCTCGAAAATGAAGGTTAAGAGGGGATGATAATCATGAGATTATTTCCTTCAAGTTGTATCTAGGCTGAATCTCAGGCTTGTGCTTGTTCTGTTCTTCATTAAATCATTTGCCTTCTTTCTCACCCCTTTTTGAACCAAAGTCTTTCAAGATCTTTCAGATGTTACAGAGTCTTAAACCAAGTCTTGCTTGAGAGATAAATTTCATATGTTTGTTTTTCTCATTCAATGCTCTCTTGTGCTTTTTCAGTATAACTATTTAAAGGTAAAGTGCAGAATTTTCAAAGAGAATGGGAGGAAGGCTAATAAATCAGCAAATAACAGAGAGAATGACAAGGAGAAGGTGTTTCAGAAGCAGGAAGCCTGGATACCAGTGTAGATGAAAGCTCCAACATATGTGTTACATGCAAAGATGAAAAATTAGTACCTCTGTCCTTTACCTGGCTTAAGAATCTCTTTTTAGGTTGAGGAAGATTAGGCAAGAAAAAGCTCTTTAGCTCTTCTCACTTGGCTGTTCTAATATCAATCCCCTAGGGAGTATGTGCATGTTCTTTCTCTCCAGGAATCCCTTTATAGTCCGTGAAGTTCCTGGTGGACATTAGGGTTCATAGAGCTCCCCTGCGACTTGGCTGAAGTCATTTGATGTTCACCAGGTGGTACTGGAGAACTTGAAGGCTTCTTCAGAGAGGAGGGGAATGTTTTCAGTGTTTATTGATCTTGAATAATGCTCAAAAAGCACCAAAAGATTACCCAGTTATAAACAGCCCTGTGCTTTGCATAATGAGCTTTGATAAACGGAAAACATGGTAATATTAATTACTTACATTAACAAAACTAATAGCAGCGTATATTGATACACTTAAACAAAGCTGCCCTGTGACAGGAATCTAAATTCCAGTGCAAATTATTTTCTCAAGCTGTCCTAAAACTTAGCTAAAGTGCTTTGTAGGTTTATAAATACATTTTACTGTTTGTCATAGAGGATTAGCTGGGGTGTGTAACACTGCTGAACTTCAGGTCACTTCATGTTTCTTATTCTAGTTCTTGGCTTTTGTAGGACTTTTGTGTAATTAAGAATTAAAAAAAAAAAAACCTGAAAGGACCGATACACTGAAACCTGTCAGTTAAAATGTTCTTTGTAGGTTCTCACAGATTAACAATTATGTTTTCTGCCGTGAGCTGCAGATTGAAATCAGTCAAAGTTCACCGCTAACTAGTTTCTAGGTAAAAGTTGTTGATTACAAAAAGAGAGAAACAGATTTTTTTTTTTTTTCTTTTTCTTAGTAGTCAAGCTTTTTCTGGAGAATGAATACAAAATTAGCGCGGATAGATATGAAGTCTATTTTTTGGTTTTTTTTTTTTTTTTTTTTTAAAGTACAGGAAGCTGCTGTGTGGGTGTCAGTGATTGGGTTATAAGTAAAATTCAATGCTCTAGTGCTTTGATCGTGGGACCTAGTGCTTTTGCCCCACCCTTACCACTTCCTTTAAATGCAGCACCATGCATTCCACATTGCGGTTATAACAGTACTGTTAACCAGTGATATTAGTGGAAGAA